ATTATCGAAATTTTTTTATTAATTTTTTTTTGTATTTTTTACGAAATATTATTATTATTTTTATTTTTTTATGAATTAAAACATTTCAATAGCTATAAGGGTATATTTGTCCAAGATACACATAATTAGTCCTATGGAAACATAGTTTATTTTTTGGTCCTATTTGTGCAATGTGAGTGATTTTTAGTCATATTTTGATAATTAACTCATTAATTTAAGCAGAAGCTGTCAATTAAAAACACCAATTTCAGCTTTTTTAAAGCCAAAAGTTGAAAAGCGTTTTTTTTTAATTTTTTGCAAACACTCCTTAAAACCTGGAAACAGCTGCAGATGTGATTTAAATTGTTTTTCACTTTTTCTATTACACAAAAGATACTTATTTTACCAAATACTAACAAGTTTTACTTTTTCAGAAACATTTTTTCTGAATCACTACCAACTTTTAATATTAATCATTTTGTCCAAAATTACTTTAAAAACACCTTTTTACAGCAGAAACATTCACAAACAGTCCCTAAGCAAATGTAAACAATGCATTGTTTACTTCACATCTGAAATTATATGCATTTTAAAAAATGACCGTTGGACCCGGAACCGGGCTCGACCCGCCCATCCCCACCGGTTCGGGTCTACACCCGGTCCCGGACCGCCAGACCGGGTCGGTCCCGGGCCCGCACAGTAGCGGGCCGGGCCGGGTCACGGGCCGGGTGGCCCGAACCGAATCCACCCCTAGGCACAACGAAGGACTGTTGAAAGTTAGTTTATTTTCCTTCATTTTAGACCGTGTCACAATGTGCACGATGCACGTCTGCTTAGAGCCCCTCCAATGCCACAATGTGCATGGTGCACATGTGGCATGAGAGAGATAGACACGCAAATATTAATAATTAAATATTTTTCTCCTTTTTTAGATGTTATTGACATTATCAAAATTATATAAATTGTGGAAAGAAGAATAGAGAAATGTCAATAATTTAATTTATATGTCTACATTTCTTATAATGGCATTGGGCATTTAGATGAATGCGTATGGCACGTTGATAACTAGTCCTTTTTATATGATCTAATAAAAATCTTTCTCATTTGAATCTTTCTGTAATGAACTATATCCTTCAGATCAAATCCAACTATACTTTTTTTGTATAAATATTTTTGTATTATAATATTATTACGATCATTATTATTTTTATCATTCTCGTGTTACCAATTTGTAATTATAGTAGCCATTTTTGAATGGAAAACTGCTTGTATTAAAATTTATAAAGCAAACGTCATTACAATAAACTCAAGATAATGCCAGTCTCAATCAAAAGCCCAATGATTAGACTTAGACTTTGTCACCCATAAATGAGTCGCAAAAGTTATTAACCATGTAACGAGCAAAATATAAGCGTAATTTGATGATGTCGATCTCTATGCTTCTAACCTGGTATGACAAACCAACACTTTCTCTAAAAAAAGATACCACTAAGAAAAGTATATATATGCACGGTCTTCAGTAGCACTTAAACAACACTATAGCATCCTGTAGCAACTTGTGTAGCTAATTTGAACGGAAACCACCCATGAAGTGACTGTCAAAATTGTCAGGATAACAACAACCCTAGACACAGTAGGAAATAAATCGCCGTTTAGACGAGCATCAAACCACTTGTTATATATAGTTTAAGCAAAGAAGAAGATGTGAAGTAACATTCTTAAATATAAGATGGGCAAATAGGGCGGCTAGGGATTTTCACCTATGCTCTCGACTCTTTACCTTAGTTATAGTAGCCTTATGTTGCCTCGAGGTTTATGGAAGAATTGAAATTATGATTGAGACGAAGAATGACTCTACATGTAATGTAATGTAATGTAATGCAATGCAATGTAATGTAATATAATATAATGTAATGAGCAATCTAGGATATGTCATCAACTCAATGAAAGTATTTCCTCATTATACTGTAACATGTTCATCATTTTTTTCCACTCGGTTCTGTGACCGGCCAGAAGACCAAAAGTACGGTCCCGATCCGGAACCAAACCAAGTACAATCAAAGTAGGGTAACAGGTCCAACGTAAGGAAAAGTTGGAATCGAAATCAACCAATCCAGACCGATCTTAACTTTTAGTTTGACGAATTATTTTGCCATTTCTCTATTTGTTGACAACTCAATGGCTCTTTTAAAAATCTTCACTTTAAAAACTGATTTCAAAAACCCGAGACTGAACTACCGGGTCATTGACCGGCCCGAACAGGGACCACTAGATTGTTGACAGGACTGGCCCGAGACAGCCCGATTATCGATTGGACCGAACACAGACTTCGAGTCCTTGACCTGACAAGATGAGGACCGCCGTGTCATTGATCGGACAGGATAGGGACCACCAGGTTGTTGATCGGGCAGGACGGAGACCGCTGCGTCGTTGACCGGATCGGACAAAGACCATTGAGTCGTTGACCAGACCAGATTGGGACAGGACTGCACGGTCGTAGACCGGACCGAACAGGTACCGCCTGGTCGTGAATAAGACCGGACAGGGATCGTCGGGTCATTGAGCGGACTTAACAAGGACTGCCGGGTCATGGACCGAACAAGGGCCACCGGGTCATGGACCAGACTGGAAAGGAGACACCGGGTTGTGGACCGGACCAGACAGGGACCGCCAGGTCGTGGACCGGACCGGATAGGAACCGCCGAGTTATGTACCGAATCGGGACCGTTAGGTCGTCGATTAGACCAGACCGGTATGGCTCGGTCGTCGACCGGACCGAATAGGGACCGCCGGGTCAATGACCGGATCGGACCTTCGGGTCGTTCACCGGACCAGATAGGGACCGTCGGGTCGTTGATGAGATTGGACAGAAACCGACAATATAGACATGTCTCATTTTTTTGGTTTTGAAAAATGATTTGGTAAATGTATTTCTATTTTTTCCTTTCTCCAGTTTTCCAACAATTTTTGTTTGTAAACACGTTTTCTGTTTTCCTTTTTCCAGTTTTCCATTTTTCTGGACAACTGGATGTTAGTAAATAGGCTCTTAGATTCCAGCGATAGAAACTCTAGCTAAGAGCGCGTTTAGTAACTCTGTTTTTCGGCTTATCAAGCTTATCAACCAACTTTTTAACCAAACACGTAACTTTTGATTTCGAACACTGAATAGTGTAATAATAAGAAAAATTAAGGTTGAATATACTTTTTTGTGTGAATGAAATGTAAATATGAAGATACTTTTAAGGTTGAAGATACTTTTATAGTTGTATTGGCTGAAATTACTGTAGATGACCATTTTAACTATTTTTTCATATAATTCTTTCTTTAGTTTATTAATAAAATATGTTTTAAATATAATTTTTTCATAAATTTGCAAAATCAGCCAATAGAGCCACTTCAGTCAGAACTTCATAAATTTCTACGGAATCAGCCGATTCAGCCGATTTCAGTGTTAACGGGCACTAAATCCAACAACTAATAATGATTAATACTACCTCCGTCCCGTTGGAAGGTTCCCTAGCAAAACGACATGGTTATTTAGACAATAATTAAATTATGTAGTTCGAGTATATTTTGAGAAATAATTTTAATACGTACATATTATAATGTAATTCGTATTGATAACTGTGATGTTATAAATGTATTATTTTTAATATTTAATGATTAATTTGTTGATTAAGATTGTTAATTGTTTCTTAAAATGGAAATGTGAACTTTAAAAATTCGTCTTTGGCTAATCAACATACACGCGAGTGACTCTATTGACGAAGATGAGACATAGAAACTCCCAATTGGATCAACAAACGATGCAATAACCTGAAAATCAATAGTGGATTGTAAAATGATTTGGTATTTAGAATGTTTTTTAAGGATTATAATTTTCTGGTCTTGTGTGGTATTATCTATTCAAGTTTGTTTGGGCGGGTCTTGTGTGGTTTGATAAATGTCTGTTCTATGTGCACTTTATAATTATTGAACACTAGTCTGATTTGGTTTGTCTGATCTGATCGAATTTGATCTAATCTGATTTGGTTTGATGTTCTGATTTATTTAAATTTGACAAATTTTGATTTGGACATGGTACACATATTGGAAATCTCATTTTACTGCACAACTAGTACAAATTATATTTAGTTTTACATGGAGTATGTATTTGTTTTTCATTATTAAAACTTTTTACAATTCAAATCCAAAGAGCAAGGCAAAAAGAACTAGAGAAGAGTTTAAAAACAAATGTTCTCAAAAAACACTGTATTGTATATAATTTGACTTTAAGTCTTTTCATCAAACTTAATGTGTATATTTGTTCAATAAAATTCTTTCAAAAAATATTCTAATCCAACAATGTATACACTAATAAAGAAATAATAAATAATAGTAGCATATGTAAATAATGAAAAAGTAAGTAAAAAAGGGCTAATATAAACTAAGAATATATATATTAATAGACAAAATCATGTTTGATCAGATTATACAAGTAAAAATTAAATTAGATCAGACACATATATACAGTTATATTAAATTATATCATCATTGATATTTTTACTACAATAAAAATATCGTTCAAGGAACATTTTATTTAAAATATAAGTAATATTATCACTAATGTTTATACTAATAATTACTGGGAAAAAAATCGACTATTAGTAGACATACTAATCATTACGCTATATACATTATAACGAATAGTTCATTAAATAGAAAGCACCTAAATACCTAATGGAAGGATCACACTTTTGTCCTCCTTTTGTTTGGATATCGGTGGGTGAAGCAAAACACCACTATTAACATCGTGTTGAGCGCAGCATAAAACGATGAAATGCAAACAACCACAAAAATTCCATTGCACCATGATTACATGGATATATCATGGGCCGGGCTTGTCACTCATATTATATTGAGTATTAGCCCAATAGTCTATTATAACGGGTTGCCCTACTGTTAGAATTCCATAATAATTTTACCCTATAACATCTAGGCACATCACATGGGTATAACCCAGATGATATCCTCCATATGTGATCAAGAAAGTAATGATATATTGGACGTACGTACTATAATTATCTCCTAAGAACTTATTTTAATTTGTTATAAGAACACTTTACTGCTTGGACTTTTATTTGGTACCTGCCTTCCATTTTTTCAAGCAATGACTAGTCTTTTTCTAATAATTGTAAGTTGAAATAGTGTATTTTTTGCAAATATTCTAAATTAATTTCAAAACTTGTAACTTTGTAAGTGCTACATTATCAATTATAATATCGTTTTCTTTGTATAATTGCTTCTCATAAAACAAGTCATTTGTCTAAATTTATTATAACCACTAATTAATATGTTAATTTTCCATGTGTATAATTAATACATTCACCCTTCCTCGAGCCTCCAACACCACCACCAGTTAAGTAATATGCTAGAAGCGTTACATAGAACTTTAATCACTACATGTTTGACACAAGTGAGACTTGCACCTGGTACTTACAAAAACCCCATATAGTTGTTGGGGATATATTCAAGTTAGGTCTACTCCTCAGTAGCACCCCTATGAATCATTCGATCAATTAAGCTACCACCACTCCTTCAAGTCGGTGTAGCTCATTTAGTTGACCACCTACTCTCAAGTCTCTCCTTTGTATGAGGTACGTTTTAGTTCGATTCTCGATCACTAAGGAAAATGTGGTAGATCTTTCTCTCAATGAGTTTCTTATATCCATAAAGTAGTATAGCTGTTGAGGAGGGAGACGATGTTAATGGAGGTAGCGAGTTCATGTGGTGAGAAAGTTATCCTGTGACAAGTGGTTTAAGTCCTTTTGGATGAGTCATTTAGAGTGAGTATGATAGTACCAATCAAGACTGGTTATGATCAAATTCAAATTTGATTGTCTAGAGGACTTGAGGTTTTGAAGTGTAATTCATAGACTCTAAAATTATAGGAGCGAAAATAATAACATGCAAACTTGAATCATAAAAAAATGTAATCACATTTGGAGAAGTAGTTAAGTTTCTCTTGACAAGTTTTCTAATCCAAGCTTTGCCACTGCGAATGCATACATTTAATCGACCATTATTTTAAACGAAGTTAAATGAAATATGTCGTATACAACAACTATACAAGCAAGGAAAGGATTATGACAAAGTTGAGATATTTAAATTAGTAGTTTGTATATTTAAATTTAGAGTATTATTTTATGTAAGTTGTACTCCCTCTATGTCACAAAACTTGACCAACTTGATTTTTCAATTCGTAGTCAATGATAATAATCTTTGGATAATGATTTTAGTTAATAAATTCATGTGAAGTTTATAACTTTTATACTTTTGTGAAAATACTTATAACAACGAACACTTTTATATATTGTTAAAGTTTTTGTCCCACACCAGAAAACTATAAAACAACAAAACACTATATAAGACTTTGAGTTACTTCTCCTATTAGGTTAACCTTTTAGGATGAAACCCCGGGTCTTAACATGATATCAGAGCCAAATGAATCCATAATCATGGTGTGGGCACCCTATGAAAAATGACGACACGAATATGAAAAATGAGAACGACGATATGATGAAAAATTTAATGACGACACGATCTAGACGAAGTGTCTGATCGTGAAGAGGGGTGTTGAAGTCCCACACTGGTAAATTAAGAGGTAATAAAGAGCTTTATTATGATCCTGGACTACTCCTTCTATGAGGTTAACCTTTTAGGATGAAACCCCGAAAATTAAATTTTTAGGATAGAACCCCATGTCCTAACATATACTTCCTCCGTCCCTTTTTATTTAGCCAAACACTATTTTTCAAGTCAACCATGTTAAACTTTGACCGATCATGTTAAAAATACTATCATAAAAGTATAAATTTATTAAGTTTCACACAAATACGTAGTACATTAGTTAAAATAATGGATATCAGCTTATCATTTTTGACTGAAAAAGTCAAAGTTGGCTAAGAGGCCGTTTGACCACCCTCATTTTCGGCTTATCAAGCTTATCAGCCAACTTTTTTACCAAACACGTAAATTTTGCTTTCGCGCGCTGAATTGTGTAATAAACCGAAAAAGTAAGGTTGAAGTTACTTTTCTGGCTGTATTGGCTGAAGTTACTGTAGATGACTATTTTAGCTATTTTTACATATAATTTTTTCTTTATTTTATTAATAAAATATATTTTAAAAATATTTTTTTCCTGTATCAGCAGAATCAGCCAATGCAGCCACTTCAGCCAGAACATCATAAATTTCAACAGAATCAGCCAGAACAGCCAATTTTCGTGCTGCCAAACGGGCTCTAAATAAAAAGAGACGGAGGTAGTATATAATTTTAGTATTTGAAATAATTTCATACGGAGTATTAAAAATATCATTGTCCACAAAAATTCTACATGACTAAATTTTATGGGATGGGCCCAGTATAAAATACATAGTACTTCCTTCGTCTCGCAAAATAGTTCCTGGTTTGACTTGGATCGGAGTTTAAGAAAGTGAGAATAAAGTGAAAATGTATTATTGTCTTGAGTAATAAAAATGTAAATGAAAGTTAGTCATACAAAACTTTCCAAAAATGAAAATGAGCATTTATTTGGGACGACGACCCAAAAAGGAAAATGAGAACAATTTTGCGGGAAGAATGGAGTATTATTTAAGCAAATGAAAGACCAATGTGTTCATCACTTACCCTAAAAGATACTCCCTTCGTCCCTAAAACAATTTCCTTTTCACTATTCGCTTGGTCAACTTAAATCACTCTTAATATTTTACTTTATATACCAAATTTTTATCAAATTGGAATTACTTTTTTGCAACTTTAATTTGTAAAGTTTTTAATATAGTTTCTGAATATGTAAATTTTATTTACTAAAAAAATTTTAGTTTTAAAGTTATGATGTGATATGTAGGTTCATGTAATTGGTGGTTACAATACTTCACCAAAACAAAGTTGTAGAATGTGGGATGGAGTTTCCACTTTTATCTGTTTGAAGATAGTTGAAATTCTTTGGAAAAGCACCAAAAGATTTAATATTCAAACTCTATATATTCTTAATGACAACACCATATATGATAGAGAAGGAAATGCTTATCCACTTCTCAAAGGTTTCCTGGTAAGTGATTCTCTCTCGATCCTCCGTCCCTTCTAACTTATCCTCTTACTTTGTCTCAATAACTTAATCGCATCCCTTTTTAAAAATAATTATATTAATTTGTAGTTATGAATGATTATGGCTCCTCAGCATATATATCTCAATCATACAAATTTATTTTAGTATTCATGTATCTGTCAACTTTGATCGTCAATATATATATTTAATTCTCTGTATGTACAAAATTTAACCAATCAAATTTTAAAAATTTGTAATGACACAAATTCAACAATATTAAAAAAAACATATATATTAACAAATAAAATATAGTCAAAGTAGGGCATGTAAAAAGTGTAAAATTCAACATGTTGTAATTAAAAATAAACGGAACTGGTATAAGGGACATAGAGAGTATGAGAAACTAACTCTAGGTAGTTAATATAAGCTAGCTAGCCAGGTTGTTTCATTCTTAATTATTCGTGAATATGTGTTTCTAGGTGGAAACTGGGAAAGGGTCAATATTTCCAGCAACCTTCCATGAGACTACAAAAGGTCCTGATGAATACATTCGAAGCATTCGAGAACGGGCTTCTTTAAGGGATCTCAATTGGAAGAATAGATTCCTTGAGACATATGATACTGAGTCTGACCAATTTGTTATTGCTCATGTTTCTAGGTATTCTTACAACCTAGCTATAATCTACAAAGAATTTGTTTATAAGAAATAGCCTAGTAGAAAAACCATAGGAAATTTCAAATAAAAGTGTTACTCCCTCCGTCCCAAAATTATCTTCATAGTTACTATTCACACAGTCAACTCAAATTATTCTTAAACTTTTACTTTATATATCAAATTTTTATCAAACTTAAATTTTATTGATCAGCCTTTGTAGCGGATTTGATGTAGTTTCTGAATATTTAAATTTAATTTACTAAACATAATCTGAGTGTGAACAGGGATCAAGTTACTTTATCGTCAGTCAAGCATCGTAAACCGAACTACGAAGATAAATATGGGACGGAGGGAGTATATTTTTCGTGTAAATGGGGCAATTATTGTCATGTTTGAAAACACTGTCAACTATGAAATTAATATTGTCAAACTTATGTCTCATAATTTCTAAATATGATAGTTTTAATTTCAGATGTCAGTAATATGTGCACTTCTATTTAGAGATAACACACACACCTTTTATTTTTTAATTTCATGTGATTCTTTATCTAATTTACGGAATTCCTTAATTTATGTATTATAAAGAATTTGGGATCTCGTAAAGCCCTATCACTTCAGATATTTCATAATTTACTACTTTTCTGAATGTTGTATGTTTTGATCTTTTTAAATTAATAGGGGCAATAGATATTTGAAATATATTGAATCATTGCGAAACCAATCTGATGAGGAACTTTGTAATACTTATTTCACTATTCCAGTTCCACCAAGTCCTCATAATATACGTCTAATAAGAAGGTAATTAAATAACATATTCATATCTTACCTTTTGTATTGATGCATTAGTTATTACGCACTTTCTATTGTGGTGGATCCTATCTTTCATTCTTTTTTACTCCACCGATAAAACTTATCAAGGACTAAATTGTCAATTCATTCTTTCTCTCAGCGATTTGGAAGAGTTATTTCAAGTTCCAGATTGGGAAAAGGTATTCCCATTCAGACGACCTCGAATATTTTTTAGATCCAATAATGGTGGTTGGACGATGAGAACCCTTGAACATGTTCAAATAATCAAAAGAACTGCGGGTAAGAGATAGGGTTGGTCCAAGGAGATGCAATATTCAATACCCAACTAAACTTAGATTAAATATATATTGTGATAATATATGATGTATTATTATTTTTTTAATAATAATGTTGCACAGTTACATGTCCTATTGTATAAAATAAAGTAATTAATAAATTTCACACCTATGTTATTTATAGATCATCGTTTCTAATCTTGGGAGGCAACCCAATTTCTTCATTTTTATTTTCATTTGTTTTCAGTCGTGTGTGTGTTTAAAAAAAATGAGCCTGGGCTGAAACCCGGTCGGGTATCTCAACAACCCGGTCGGGTTCCCTCACAAAAACACAATACCCGGGCAACACAGCCACCGGGTGAAAACGAAAAAAAAGGGGGCATAAGACCCGACCGGGTCTGTGCATATTTTTGGCTTTGAAACCCACTGGAATGCATACCTGTTCGGGTATTACCGAAAACCCGGACGGGTACACATTTAAAATTTTGAAATAGCCACAAACCCGACCGAGTAGCCTAATTACCCCGGCCGGGTAAGCGTTCCAGTAGCTACTGGATTGAAAACAATGAAAGGCCCGACCGGGCGTATGCCCTTACCCGGCCTGGCGAACGGGAAAATCACTCAAAACCAGGTTGGGCGACCTCTTCCCCTCCCACCTCTTTCTTCCCCAACCCGCACCACCTTCCCCAAATCCCCCATTTTCAACTAACCAAACCTTCGATTCTACACCATTTCTCCACCCCAATCCACCAAATAATCCCATTTTCTTCATCTCCTCACCTCCCTCTTCAATTCTATACCCATAAAATCCCCCAAAACCTTCCAAATCAACCAAACCCAAAAAACTCTACCCAACAATTCGAAAATCTCCATTCTTGGACATTCAAGGTCCGAAATCTTCCCAAAAATTCTCAACCAATACCATATTCTTGCTCTTCTCATCATCCTCTTCAACACCATACCCATAAAAGCCATCCAAACCCCACCCTACCCAAAAGTCCGAAATTCCTCAAGCAAAATAACAAAAAAAAAACCATCCCATGGCTCCAAAAAAATCCAAAACTTCTTCTTCAAGGGCCATCCCACCCGTGGCGGGCTATGAAAGCGTGGAATTTGCAACAGAGGCACACAAAACACTCTTCAAGGAACAAGCTAAAAGGGAGGTCAAACAATCTCGGTTCATGTGCATTACTACTTTAGCACTCCTTTGGATTGATATGATCATGTGTGATATATTCGCAAGGATTGGAATTGTTGGAAAAATGTGTTAAAAATTGCATTAAATGGTCATTTTGGGGCATTTATTTGAGTGGGATCCACTTCCGATTTGGGTCGGATCAAAGAGGTTTCGGATTTTCCTTGTTAAGGGCTACAATTCTATATATGGTACACTCAAAACGGATAACGGGTGAATGAGAAATTGATTCTCGAAGTTCACTCGTTGAAACGGAAAAACTGGGAAAATGATGGGTTTCTAGTGTGTTTTATCTCACACCGAAAAACTCAAGGGATTTTCACCCCCTTATAAAGGGAAGCCTCTTTTAAGGAGTTAAGATTCCTAAGGGTAAAGGCTCTCTCTTACGAGCAGGGGGGGGGGGGGTGCCGATCAAATCCTGAAACGGAGAAAAAAAACCACGACTCGTGTGCGCGGGCAACCTGCGGACATGAATGTCGTCCGAAAACCAATCATTCAAAGACACGGTCTAATTTTTGTTTCTTCCCGTTACGTTTTATTTTTCCCAGGATTAGAGTTGCTCGAACTCTGGTGGAGGTATTTGAAGAGCACTTTGTCACGGTGCGTCAAAATAATTTCAATACTAAACACTGCTACGTAGTATAGCGTAGTAGAGTTCGTATCCACAGGGAAAGGAATGATTTTCTTTTTATGAAACTTAGTAAATAAAAGGGGGATTTGGATTGAGTGATTTAATTTAATTAAGAACCAAGATGAACAACCTATATGTGTTTAATTCAAAGATAAAAAGGACTTGACATTGCTACTTTCCACTTGTTGATATATTTTAGTCGATCATTGTTATATCTATAACTTATTCCCTCTCGAATACTCAATCGGGGAGTATATCCACTTCATCGAGGGTAGTTATTAACAACGACCGTTCATTAATAACTCTTACTATTAATCAAATATAGAACAATGCCTTATACCGATTTAATAGTAGCATTTAATCTTTCTAACTCCTTGATGAAATCAATTGAGATTGATAACCTCAACACAACGATTTTGGTTTAACCAACAAAATTGATCCCTCTTAAGTTTATTAACCACGACCGTGCATTAATAAACCGAAGTTACTTACTTGTGAAACCACCAACGATTAACCATCGGTTCGTTGATCGTTTCTAGTAGTAATTAATATATGAAACAAAACTAGTTGATCCTTTAAGTAATATTCAAAATATTAATATGAAATATGAGTAGGAATTAATTAATATTCAAGGAAGAATATTATTAAAGAAGATGAATCCTACTATAATTAATATCAAGATGTTAACTAATTGTCATCTTAGCAACACTCCCCAACATTAATATAGAGGAAGAAAATACCATTCTAACTAATATCGAGATGTTAACTAATTGTCATCTTAGCAACACTCCCCAACATTAATATAGAGATGGTATTAAGGAAAGAACTATTAATTAATATTCAAGGAAAGAAGTTAAGAAAATAACTCACAACTTTAATAATCAACAAGATTCAAGAGCAACACCAAGAATGGAAGTTTAGCTCCTCATTTGGAGACTAAACATAGCTAGAAATATAAAGAAATGCTATTCTAAACTGAGCTAAAGAGTATGGAAGAAGGGATTATTTTTAGAGAAGAAAAAGTGAGTTATTTATGGGTGTTTTTCAACACCTTTGGCCGGGTACCCGACCGGGTATAGTACTTACCCGACCGGGTCTGGTCAAACTCAGATAATCCACCACGTTCTGGTGATCTTCGCACGTCGTTTTGTCCCGGTCACATCTGACCCGACCGGGTCAAGAAGGGGACCTGACCGGGTCCAGTGACTTTCTTGGCAATTTCGTCTGTTAAATCATACCCGACCGGGTGGGGGTTTCTACCCGGTCGGGTTTCACTCCTGGGCAGTCAAATTTCTTGTTTTCTTCTCTTCAAAGTCTTCCTTTCCAACACCACAAATCCTAACTATACTTTACAACTTATAAATAAAGAATAAAATACAATTACAACTGAAATTACATAAATGTTTACAAACTAAATAAAATGTCAAACAATCAACATAAATCAAACATAAAAACATGCAATTATGCACTACTAATTAGTGTGCATCAAACACCCCCACACTTAAACCTTTACTCGTCTCGAGTAAATCAAATCCGGTCCAAGAAGTCCTTAAAATGACAAGAATATCAACACACACATCCACGAGTGTATTTAGAAACACATAAAGTATATCCCCAAAAATATAACAGTAAAGAGGGTCTTCAACTCCATATTTCTTTATCAACCTCAACCTTTTTTTTCCGTTACCCTTAGGATCCTGCAGAAATAAAAGAAAATACTTTCTCTCGTTCTCTCATTTTGCCTAGGTGCCCTTTCGGGTTTTTATCCCAACTTCCCACATTTTTCTGTTTTAATCCTCACAACTCACTCTTATTTTTGCTTTATTTTTGCTTAAGTTGCCCTTTCGGGTTTTCAACTTAACAATCTTTTATATTTTTTTTACAAGAATAAAGAGTATGAATGTGAGTAATCCATAAAACTCTCCCCCAAGCTAATCAAAGCACTGTCCCTAGTGCTTGTGTCTGAGATGACTGTGTTTTTTTTGTTACTTTTTGGGAGGTTTTGTTGGTGATTTGTGGGTGTGGAGATGAAAAGGGTGAAGAGGAGATGAATGAAATGTGTTTAATTGGTGGATGAATGTAGGAGATATGAAGCTTTTGACTTTTGGAAATGGAGGAAATTTGGGGTGTGGTTCGAATGGGAAGACTTTGGTGGTGATTCATTTTTTTTTATTTATGTTTTTTTGGTGGGTTGCCTAGCCGGGTATAGCGACTGACCCGGTCGGGCGTAAGCTGTTCACCCGAGGCAGAGAGTTTTTTGCTGGGTTGCCCGGCCGGGTATAGGGGTCTACCCGGTCGGGCGGTTGATTTATTTTTTGTTCTTCATCTGCCTCGCCCGGGCGGTTGGCCGGGTGCTGTGTTTTAAGAGGTAACCCGACCGGGTAGGGTTTTATACCCGGCCGGGTTCGATCCCAGACCATTTTTTTTTGACACACACACGCTCTACTGAAAAAGTATAAAGGAAAACATACCTTGCATTGGTTGCCTCCCAGGAAGCGCCTTATTTATCGTCGCGACACGACGCCATCATTGTGTTCAATCATTTAAACTTGGATCATGATAGTTTATCTTTTTCACACTTTCACTCCTAGGGCGTTCATAGGAGTGCTCATTTTCTCGACTCTTCAATTTGGGAATCTTTCCAGGATCAAATATCCAGATTGTCATTGATTCATGCGGTGGGAGGAAAGGGAAGAGATTATCGTTTACTATGGTCAATGAAAAGTTTTTCGATCCCTCAATTTTAAAGAGGATTTCAGAAATGTCATTGTCCTTTCCAAGTTTATGAGATTCCCTCAAAATTTTTAGAATTGATGGGGGTACCTCAAAAGATGACAAGGATAGATATTTAACCTTGAAGCTCAGATTATCCTCTTCTTTGACCAGTTGGAGCTCCATGTCTTTTTCTTCCTCTACTTCTTCTGGATTCTGGATCTCCTTTTGCATTTCCTCTTCATTTGTCAATGTGATTGCAAAAGTTTGGTGTCTAGGATCACATTCTAGTTGGGAAGGAGGTTTTTCTGACTCCCTTGCTTCAAGCCTACTCACGACTCCGGCAGTTTGACTCATTTGAGTTTCCAAGTTCAAAATGTTAGACTTGGTCTCATTTTGGAATTGCACCATGTTTTGTTGCATGGCGGTCACACTGTTAGTAAGAGCCCGAACCATGTCCTCCGTGGACATATTAGAGTTGGAGAATGGAACATACCTCATGTGAGGTACATCATCAATTTGTGCAAGGTATTCTTCTTGGAGCTTTGGGCAGAAGTCCGTAAGATACCTGTGAGACATGCAAATGTTGCATGTCTTGGCATCCTAAGCTTTTGAGTTAAAGATAGATTCCTTTATTAGAGAAGT